AAAAATATAATGTTGTTCTGTTTTTTTCTTGCATCAATTTAAGAATTTTATTTTATTTTTTAATAATTAATTTTAAAATTTAAATAATATTCTTAAAAAAAAAAATACACACACAGACACATCATATATTGGTGTTGGCATACAGAATTTTGGATATACTGTTGAATCTAAACAGAATAAAATATAAAGTTGTAATGTAATGATGAACTTTTAATTAAAGTATAATTCAAAAATATAATTGGAAAATATACGAAACCTAAAATTCATAAAAAAAAAAAAACTCTTATCAGATTTGTCAAAATTGGTTCTTCAACATGATTGGTTTCTTTGAAGAATCTGGAAGAGACCAAAAAGAGATAATGTTTGCTTGTCTGGTCACAATTCTGTTTTTTTAAATTTTTCAGTTTTACATTGAACAGTGAAAGAAATAATTTTAAAATCTACCATTCGACAAATTTTTTTATATGTTTTGGAAAGTCAATAATTTTCTGGTGGGAAAAAATTTTGCATGATCTCTTATAAAGGGTTTTATCATGAACCTTTCTTCAATTAGCAGATAAATGCAATGTAACATGCTTGGACTTAGAAATATTTATCGCTTATTCGAATACCTCCTGAAACAATTTCCTCTTTAACTACACCTGATGATTTCTTAATATAATTACAATAGATGTAGATATTGGACAGGTATTGTTGCATTCTTCAAGGGGTATAGATGAAACATGAAGATTTAATTGACTATTTTAAACCGTATATTTTGAATCAAAAAAATTGCAAATTGTCAAATGTTTTATATATATATTTTTTTTTCTTGTTTTGCACTATTGTTAAGGTTCTAAATTGGGTGATTTTGGAAGGAATTAAATGCTACCTAAAAGACGGTCATTCCAAGTAGTCTATCATCCTTTCCACTGGCATAAAATGGGAACTGTTTCTTGTTCTCTGGATCCTGATCAAATAATAATCTATATGTAAGTCTAAAATAAATGAAATTAAATGTATGAAATAGAACAAGGTTTAGGTTCTCAACATTTTTTATAGACATGAACACCTCGACGAAAAATCCTGATTTTTTGCCTCTTCCCGTGACATATGAAACTAAAATTATTCAAAAATTGATGGAAGCCCCTGAAAGAACATTAAAGCATCTAAACAAGCTTCAAAAACATTGCATATGAACAGAAAAAAAAAAAGAATGAAAGGACACATGAAGAACTAAAAAACAATTACTAAGAATTTTTTTTAATCAAAATATATATATATATATATATAATTATTTTAATATCCTTTAAGTTCAAACATTTGAAATAAACAAATGGGGATGAAATGATACAGAAACATTTAAAACAAAAAAAAAAAAAAAAAATGGAAAAGAGCTGTTAGTCATTGAACTTATTTTTTTGTGAAACTTTTGTAACAGATGCCAAAAATTTGTACTTAGGTCTCTCAAAGGAAAGGAGGATAAAGAAAAATTTAATCAAAAATCTTCCCCCCTTTTTTTTAATAATAAAAATTCTAATAAAAAAAAATTGTGCCTTTTTTTTTTTTTTTTTTTTTTTTTAAAATTTTGTATAATTTTTCTTATTCATTTGACAATAAACAAGACATTTTTGGTCAATTTTAAAAAAAAATGGGTGGCAATGTCCATTATTTACTTTGATTGTGAATACATTATATATATATATTATACACACACACTGAATTAAGCATTAATGTCAAACTTACAAAAAAAAATAGCAAATAAATAAAAAGTCAATGTGCTGATCCATGCTTTAAAGAGGAAAAAAGTCTAAAATCTAAACGAAGAAAGAAAGAAGAAAATTCGGTCTAAAAAAAATAAAAAATACTAAATGATACCAACTCATCAGGTATGAAAGAAAAAGAAACTTTTAGTAATAAACACACACACACAAACACACAAATATATATATATATATATATATATATATATATATAGAGAGAGAGAAAAAGAACTTAAAACACATGTAAAAACAAAAAAAAATTTTTATGTATGTATTGAAACAACATACACTGTTATCCCCTCTTCAGGAATTGCTGATGTTGGACAAACCCACAAAACCCAATCTATAGGTTTAGGTTAATTCTTTTTTTAAATTCACAAAACTTTTTTTTCATTTACAATATCCCCACAGAAAATTATCAATTATGATCTACTAAAATATTGGGTTAGAAACAAGAAGTTTCATTTTATAAATATCCAGATTTTGTGTTTTTTTTTTTTTTGTATCAGGTTGCAAAGGTCTGTGGAGGCACCACTGAATAATAACAGGGAGAAAGAAATGTTACCCAGAATGACTGGAAATGTATAAAAAAAATTTGATAGAAATGAGGATTAAGAAACTTGTGCATGGTATCTTGAATTTTTTTAAATCATGTCAATCCAGTCAAGGAGAATGGGAATGCTACTAATATATAGGGGTTACAAGTGTGAAAGTGAGAAAAACCATATCTAATGCATTAAACATTGAGGAAAGACCGCAAAAACATGATCGGCATTCTAGAAGATGACAATGACAATTCCATTTAGGATTTTTTGATCTTTGTAATCTTCAACCAGTAGCAAATAAATGGATTTTTTTTTAAGGTGAAAAGTAAAAAAATTGTTGTGGAAGTGACATGGACATTTAAATAATTTCAACAGTTGTAGTGGGACCTAGATTGAATTTTTTCTTAAAGACATGTAATCAGAGGAGTTCCCATGAAAATATTTGTAGAAAAGATCAAAGGGAAGCCACATCAGGTTGGTAAAGTGGCTGAATTTGAGATGCCAAGAGAGGATTTATTACATTCAAGATCCTTCTTTGAATTTTTTGTTTTTTTTTTTAGATGAAAAACCAGATCAGTATTCAATGCACAAATGAATGGTTAACCCGGAAAAACTGTGCAAGATGGATTCTGATGAAAAGACCTAATAAATAACAAGTGACCCAATTCTTAAAGTGGAGTCATAGATCGTCTTTGATTTCTAGTTGAAATTTCAAGTCAGTTGAGAACTAAAGGCCTTTTTAGTGTGTTGCCATTTGATGGCAGACAAGAAAGTTTTCCATGGTGGTTAAACAAGAGCATAAACAACAGCAATGTTAACATTTACAACAATAATTTCCTGCCCCGCTTAGCAAAACAGATTGGAGGTTTGGCTTTTGTATTAGGTTAACTTTATCAACCTGATGGATTTTTAATGAAACAATAAATTTTATTCATCTGGTAAATGTTTTTCTTCAAAACTGATTTCATCAGGAAGATCATGATGAAGATCAAAAACAGGATAGAACCTATATCTGGTCCATGTTTTTTTGAAAGGAATGTATAGCTGTTTCAAAATGGTATTTTTTAAAAACGATTTGATATAATGATTGATTAAATCAAAAATTATTCATGTAATAATATATTTTTTTTACATAAAAAGCTAGCATTTCTGATATTCAAAGATATTAGATAACAAGCATGGGCATATACTGTTATTATCAAGAGCTTGGGACCATATTTAGTGATAGTCATTACCCCAGATTTGGTAGACCTGGCAAAATTGAAGTCATTGTCAGAGATTAGGTCATGAGAGATAAGATGCAAAACCTCCAGTATTAATTAAACCTCAAATGCTTTACTGAAAAGTGGTAGAGACTAATAGTATGAAGGGTCAGAAGGTTCTCCAGTGTTCTTAAAAACTGAACTACAGAGGAGGAAAATAAGCCGGAAAAAATAGTTTGAGAGAAAATTTCCAACAGGAGCACATTTATTTAGGACTATTGCTGGGGAAAACCATCCCCATTCTGGGAAACGCCCTAAATTTGAAATGATGGCAGCACCCTATTGTGTTATATGCATATAAACCTCAATAGAGCCTCTTGGTAATGGGGAAATCAGGTTTGGGTAATCCAAATGATGCCATGTTGAGTTGGAAGAATAATTTAGTGGCATCAGCATTCAACCTTATCTGCTATAGATGTATTCAGGACATCGTCATGATGATGGAGAAAAGGTCTGTATATATATATATATTTTTATATATATATATATATATAAATGAGAAAGAGAAAACAGCTTTAATTTCATCAGCTTTTCACTTTCACCTTTTCGCTTGTCAAGTTGTGAGTTCAAACAATCCTGGCTCACTAGCCTGATGAGCTAAATTCTAAGGAGGAATTGAGTTTATACAGGATATTTTGGGGAAGATATCTGTAGACTTTGAACAGGCCAAGCTTTTCGATCGGGAAAACACTCACTTTTTTGTTTTTTCAGCTTTGTTTTTTTTTTTTTTCTTCCTTTCAAGATCTGAGTGGAATTTTCATCCTTTTCTTTAGATCTGAAGACTATATAAATTCTTTTTCTGGCAATCTTTGGCATTTTCTTCCTTTCTTTAGATCTGGAACTATTTTTCTTCCTTTCTTTAGATCTGAGACTATTTTCTTCCTTTCTTTAGATCTGAGACTATTACGAGGTTCCTTTCTTTAGAAATGAGAATATTTTCTTCCTTTCTTTAAATCTGAAACTATTTTCTTCCTTTCTTTAGATCTGAAATAATTTTTTCTGAAAATTAGATCTGAGAATATTTTCTTCCTTTCTTTAAATCTGAGACTATTTTCTTGTATTTAAAAGATCTGAGACTATTTTCTTCCTTTCTTTAGATCTGAGACTATTTTTTCTTCGTTTTTCCTTTTTCTTCTTCCTTTCTTTATTTTACTCCCTTCCTCTCACTTCTCATCTTGATTTCCTTTTTTTTTACCATTTCTTTCATCTTTTCCTAAGATCATATAATTTTCCACTTTTTCTTTCTTTCTCCTCCTTCTTTCTTTTCCTTCTTCCTTACTTTTCATCCATTTTTCTTCCTCTTTTTCTCTACTTTCCTTTTATTTTCTGTTATTTCTTCCTTCCTTTTTCCCATTTATTTCCTCTTTTTACTTCTTCCTTTTTTCCTTCCTCTTCTCCCTTCTTTTCCTTCCTTTTAATTTTCGTCTTTATCCCTTCCTTTTTCCTTTTGTATGTCTTCTTTGACATCCATCTTTTTCTTCTTTGTTATTGTTGTGCCTTCTCCCTTGCTTTTCCTTCCTCTCTTTTATTCTCTCCCTTTTCTCTTCTTTCTTTTTAATTCCTCTTTTTCTTCCTTTCTTTTTATCTCTTCTTTTTTCTCCTTCGTTTTCCTTCCTCGTTCCTTCTTTTTTCTCATCTTTTCTTTTCCGTCTTCCTTCCTAACCTCCCCCTTTCTCTTCCTTTCTTTTAATTCCACTTTTTCTTCTTTCCTTTTTCTTTTTCATCTCTTCGTTTTACTTATTTTTTTTTGTCTACTTTTTATTTTCTGTTATTTCTTTCTTCCTTTTTTCCATTTATTTCCTCTTTTTTACTTTTCATTTTTTCCTTTTAAATTAAATTTTCTTTTCCTTCCTTTTAATTCTTGTCTTTAACCCTTCCTTTTTTATCTTTGTATATCTTCTTTTTATATCCATCTTTTTCTTCTTTGTTCTTGTTGTGCCTTCTCCCTTGCTTTTCCTTCCTCTCTTTTATTCTCTTCTTTTTTACAAAATTCTCTTTTCTTATTTTCTTTTCTTTTTTTACAATTTATTTTTCCTTCTTCGTTATTTTCATTGTTTCGTTTTCCTTTTTCTTTTTTTTTCCTCTTCCTTAATTTCCCCTTTCTTTCCTCATTTTTAATAGTGTTTTTTTTTATCTTTCCTTTTTCTTTTTCATCTCTTCCTTTTACTTCCTTACTTTTTCTTCCTACTTTGGATTCGTTCTTTTTCCTTCTTTCTTTTTTATTCATTCATTTTCTTTTCTTTTCCTTTCTCAATCCTTTTCCTTCCATCTTTCTTTTATTTCCATTTAATTTCTCTTTTTTTCCCCTTCCTTTTTATCTCTTCTCCTTTTTCTTCCTCGTTCTTTTTCATTTACCTTCCTTTTTTCCTTCGTCCTTCCTTTCACTCTCCCTTCTTTCCTTTCCTTTCAATTCTTCTTTTTCTCACTTCCTTTTCATTTTTTTCTCTTTTTCTTTCATTTTTTTTATTCTTTCTGCCATTTCTTTCTTCCTTTTTTTTTCTATTTTTTCTTTCTTTTTAATTTTTCCTTTTTCTTCTTTCCGTTTTCTCTCTAATTTTGCTTCATTCCTTTTCCATCCTCTTTCCTCTCCTCCTCTCTTTCCTTCTCCTTCCCCTTTCTTTTCCTTCTTTTTTTTATCCCTTCCTTTTTCCTCTTTATCTCTTCTTCTTACTTTCTCCTTTTTCTTCCTTGTTATTGTTGTTCTTTCTTTCTTTCTTTCTTTCTTTCTTTCTTTCTTTCTTTTTAAACTTTCTTTCTCTTGAATTTTAATTCCTCTTTTTCTTCCCTTCTTTTTTATCTCTTCTTTTTACTCCTTCGTTTTCCTTCTTCGTTATTTGGTTTCTTTGTTTTCATTCTCTTTTCTTTTCCTTCTTCTTTCCTCTTTTCTTCCATTCTCTTCTTTTCTTTTAATTCCATTTTTCTCTTTTTCTTTTTCCTTTTCATCTCTTCATTAACCCTCAATTCTTTTTTCTGGGTTCAACTGATTCGTTTTTTTCCTTCTTTCTTTTTTTGAAGGCAAATTTCCTTTCCTTTTCCTTTCTCCATTCTTTTTCCTTCCCCCTTTCTTTTATTTCCATTTAATTTCCGTTTTTTTCCCTTCCTTTTTATCTCTTCTTTTTACTTCGTCATTTTTTTTCCTCATTCTTTTTCATTTAATGAAATTTGGGATTTCCTTCGTCCTTTTTTTCCTAAAGGTTTTTTTGAAGGCAACAAGTTCCTCTTTTTCTCACTTCCTTTACCTTTTTTCAAGCATTTTTCTTGGGAATCAGACGATTCTTTCTGCCATTTCTTTTCCTTTTTCCTTCCTTTCTACTTTCATTCTCTTCTTTCCATTTAATTCCATTTTTCTCTTTTTCATTTTCCTTTTTATCTCTTCATTTTACTTCCCTCTTTTTCTTCCTACTTTGGATTCGTTCCCTTTCTTTCTTCCTTTTTCTTCATTCATTTTCTTCAACTTTTCTTTCGCCTTCCTTTTCCTACGCCCCTTTCTTTTTCTTCCGTTTAATTTATGTTTTTATCCTTTCCTTTTTTCTCTTTTTTTTATTTCATCCTTTTTCTTCATCGAAAACAATTCTTTTGGAAAAAAACCTTCTTTTTTCTTACCTTCTTGCACACTTTTCCTTCCTCACAATGAAGAAAATGTTAAAGAAAAAATAGATTTTTTCCTTTTTCTCTGCTTTTTCTTCATTTTTTTCCAGAAAGAAAAGGTTTTTTCCATCGTATTTTCTTTCCTTCGTTTTATTTCCCTTTTTTTCTTTTTTCTTCTTTTCTTTTCCTTCCTCCTTCTTGTTTCCTAGGAAGAAACCGTTTTCCTTAGAAAGTTCTTTCTTTCTTTTACTTTCTTTTTTTTTTCTCTTCCATCTTTTCTCTATTTTCTGCCTTCTTTTTAATCTACCATTTAACTTCGCCTATTTTCTTCCTTACTTTTATTTCATTCTTTTTCCTCCTTTC